ACCTGAAATCCAGAATTTAATCATAAAGGAAGTTGATGGAATAATTGACAATCATTATGCTCAATCCCAAAACTTCTACTCAATTTGTTAGAGCCTCGTGCTGATAACGTGTTATGAAATAATAAAAGAAGAAGAAAGAAGAGTATTGCAGAGAAAAGTAGAGAGAGAGAATTCTTATTGATTTGGGATGAGTTACACTGGAACAGAACCCTCTATTTATAGGGAGAGGGTGACTTAGCCACCAAGTAATAAACCCTAGAATCTCTCTAAATATAGACATTCACCATAAATAAAATTCTATTTATAACACTTTTACTTTTGTGCATTATAGAATTATTTTTTAGGAAGGAACACTTCTAGTGTCTTTGAAGTTTGAAACATAGGCTGATGAACTGATAAACAAGGAATATTGATAAAAGTAGGAACTACTTTTAATAATCCTTTAAGTTAAGGATTCTCATTACAAGAGTGTGTGGCACTAGAATTATCAAGGACTGCACCTTGCTTTGAGATGGGGTCTTAAAATGCTACTCGGACTCTTCAAAAGTGTAACCGGATGCGTCTCGGATTTTCAAAAAGTAGTGCATTTTAGAGGATCTGATACAAGTACGGCAGCATTTTTGGAGAGTCTGAGCAACATAGTTAAAATGTTATCAGAGTTGACTATGGAGATTCTTATAGTATTTTGAAGCTCAGAAGAAAAAGGTAAGTCAATAATAGCCATTTGTTGAAGTTAAGTATTAAAGGGGGCCTTGGCGTAACTGGTAAAGTTGGTGTTATGTGACCAGGAGGTCACAAGTTCGAGCCGTGAAAACAACCTGCAGGGTAAAGCTGCATACAATAGACCCTTGTGGTCCGACCCTTCCCCAGATCCCGCGCATAATAAGAGCTTAGTGCATCGGGCTGCCTTTTTTTTAAGTGAAGTATTCTCATTAAAAGAGTGTGCGGCACTAGAATTATCAGGGAATGCACCTTGGTTTGAGATTGGGTCTTAAAATGCTATTCGGACTCTTCAAAAATGTCATTGGCTATAGTCGGATCCTAAAAAAGTAGTGCATTTTTGGAGGTGCGGTAGCGTTTTTGGAGAGTCCGCGCAACGTAGTTAAAATGTTATCTAAGTTGACTATGGAGATTTTTAAAGTATTTTGAAGCTCAGAAGAAAAAAGTAAGTCAATAGTAGCCATTTGTTGTGGAATTTGGGAGACTAGCATATTCTATGGTCCAAAGACAGGCTTCCTCCACTATGTCACAAATCATAAAGTATGTATTATAGTTTGAAGTATGGTGATCTTTTGGTAAGATATGGTTCTTGCACTTTGAGTAGCTATAAGATTAAGAATGTGGCTTTTAGTGCTTGCATTTTTATGCTCATTTTGAATCCTTCTGGTCCTACATTTTGCTTTCTGCTGATATCATTGTCAACACTTTGTTCTATTCTTGTTTGTTCTAGGATTCTCTTAGTCACTTTGAGTTTCTTGCATTATTCTCCAGAATATTTAGATATATTTTTTTATTGATACAGTAGAACAAAAAATAGTCTCTCTATCTGTACAAGGTAGGGATAATGTCTGCGTACACACTACCCTCCCGGCCTTCCCAGACTCCACTCGTGAGAATATACTAGTTATGTTGTTGTTTTTGTTCGTGTAGTAGAACAAAAAATAGAAAAACTAATAATGGTGAAAAGTGATCGATCAGTTATACGGCAATATATATTGCATCTTGTTTGAGTTAATTTTAGCTTTCTAGTAAAAGTGGAGTGAACAATGCTGAAATCCACTGCAACATGCATATAATTCAATAATAATTTTGGTAAAAAATGGGCAGTTCGGTGCGCTAAGCTCTCGCTATGCGCGGGTCCGGGGAAGGGTCGGACCACTAGGGTCTATTTTACGCAACTTTGAATAAAAGAAGTTAATTCCTTCTTGATATTTGAAAAAATAAAATATTGTGTACCACAAAAAAAATCCAAAAAATCAACTAAAGTGAACCGAAGGGAATACTTAATGTAATAATTGAGGTGCGCATAACTTAATTCGTAACAACAAAATACTTAATGTGATCTTATAAATAGGGTATGAGGAGGGTGGGATGTGTGTATACCTCACCCCTATCTTGTACACAGAAGTTGGTCTATACACCACTGTTATTTAAAGGAAAAAGAATAAATGAGTGAACAAACTACTTAATTACTAAAACTTGCAAATTCTTCCAAACGAATTTATGTAGAACTTTGGATCCTCGTGACCAACTCTACATAATATCTTGTAATTATCTCTAGTTGGTGCATTATTTGTATTGTAATTGTCACAAGAAACAAAATTCAAGCTGGAAGATCTTGGCCCTTTCTTATCCAATGGGCACTATAATTTAGACATTCTGAAGGGGAAATGGTTAGATTCTTCCCACACTTTACTTTTTCCTGGAAAAACACAGAATATATTTAATTAAAAATATAGAAACAACAAAGGAACTAGCAACTCATTGCACGAGGGAGGTTCTATATGTTTCTCAAAGAAACAGTATCTGGTAATTCAAGCTGGAAGATCTCCATCTTTATTTGACACTATTTGGCAAAACATAATAACAGAAGATATTAAGTTAATTGTGTGTAATATTAGTAGTTTTAGAAGTGAAACTGTTAAGATAACAATTGAAAAGTTAATTTTGATAACAAAAAAAAGGATCAAGCAAAATTTAAATCCTGAAAAGTTAAATGTTGGGTGTGCGAACAAGGTTCTACATTGGTAGCTGAAAAGATTGGGAGCATACATATAAGATGTAGGGATTTCTTAATGACGGGACCTTTTGGGGAAAACTGTACAAGTTTGGTCCAAAGCGAACAATATCACGCTATGTTAAGAGCAACTTTTGGCTGTTTTAACCATACAAGTGGTATCATAGCCTAGGTTTGGCAGAACGAGTATGACGATGATGGTGCGGGGCTTGGTTTGCTTGCTCTTACGAGCTTGGAGACACTCACAACAAGAAAAAGCTAGTTACAGGCTTTGCTTGCCACAAATACTCTAACAATGTAGGTGACATACACTGAATCTCAAATATTAACCCGTGAATTGTGGTAATGGGCCACGTGAAATTTAGTTCGAGGGGGAAATTGGGGCGAAATTCAAAAATAGCCGAATTTACAAGTGGTAATTGAACTTCCAGCATGTGAACTTCCAACATAATATACTGGAGTTCTAGCATAATATATCGGAGTTCCAGCATAACATGCTGGAAGTTCATACGCATGTGCTCCAATCTCCAGTATATTATGCTGGAAGTTCGTACGCATGTGCTCCAATCTCCAGTATATTATGCTGGAACTTTCCGTGTGCTGGAGTTCTAGCATAATATGTTGGAAGTTCATACACAGGTGCACCATTCTCCAGTATATTATGTTGTGACTTTTTGTGTTGCAGCAAAATAGTGGCTATTGTTTCAATGACTTTGCAAACGCTGGCTATTTTTCAATTACCAGTCCGAAAACTGGCTAGCCCGTGTTATTTTCACGAGATTGTTAGGTATGCAAATAAAGTCTCATATTGGTAGTTGAAAAGATTGAAAGTCTAAAGCGACAATACCACGTCATGTTAAGAGTAATTTTGAGACGTTTTAGCCCAATATTAAATTAATCTCTCCGATTAGAAAAGAAAATGGATGCCTATTTATTCTTGTCAATTCCAATCCTTTTAGGTCTTTTTTGTGCCACGACTTTTTATATTGTGGAATGTACCCTTTGAGGGATTAGTGACCTCTAAATTCACAGTGGATGCTTGTGGCTTCTGCAACAAAGATGAATGTGGTTGTCACCATCCACTTTAAAAAGAGAAGGCAAAAGGGCAAATTCTTCTTTCTTTTCCTAAGGTGAAATTACTATTATAATTTGGCCTTTGAGTTCTAAAATAATCTTCAAGACATTTCATCACGATTTTCTTTAAGAACACTCGCCTCGTGGATTCTTTCCCTCATTTTGTTCTTTTCTTTTCTAACTGTATTTTTTAACCAAGAAAATTGGCGACCAAAATATTAATGAGTTTAATTTTTATACACTGACAACGTAATAAATTTTATACTATAAGGTCACATATAGGTAACTGTCCGTAAAGAGTAAGATTGATAACTCGAAAAATAAAGGAAGTTACATTTTATGATGTGTTAAAATATACTGATATGAAAGCATTTTCTTACAGTATCACTATATTTATATTAAATCCAATATTAAAGTCCCAATTGGGATATCACATGTACATTTTTGTCGAAATGTTTGTCTCAGTAACAATAATAAAATATTTCTCTTTATCCAAAGACATACCATTATATATTCACACGCTCAATGTCACGGATCATGTATAACATCACATTTTCAGAAAACAATACTTGTACTATTTACCAAAAAATCTCATTAATACATAATTTTCTTATTCCTTCTTCCAATTTACATTCCCAAATCCAGTAGTAATAAATGCACCTCTCAATAATTTACAAAATCCTTCAAGATTGTGATAATATTGGTTTGCTGACCCTCTTTTTCAAAGTGATATTAGGTGTGTGGTCAATGGTATTGCAGAATTTTTACCAAGAAAATTCAAAAAATAAATAAAATAAACACCCGAAAAATCCAAGAGATTTAATATTTAATATTATATAAAAAAAATATTTAACCTTACTGTATAATTTTACGAAAAAGTGATGAATCCTTTTCCGCCCTCCTAGCTCCGCTCATGTTGCATGCTATGCCAGATTTTCATATTATGTATTTATGTATTTATTTATTTATTATTATTTGAAGGAGATGGACACAAGTCGGATAAGATTTAATCCAAGAAATTTTACTCTTAGTAAATGACATGTTGAAATAGGTCAAGTATTTACTTGTTGAAATAGAAAAGAACTATAAAAACAAAAGAATTTCCAAACCAAAAAAGGCAAAAGCAAATAATTGTCTACTGCTGATATAGTAAAAGGTTTGTCTAAAGCTTATAAATAAGGACAGAAATTGAGTTGTCTCTGCCTCTAGAAATTGAAACTTATAAAAAAAAACTTTTCAATAATACAAACTTTTCATTATTCTTGCTATGGGTTTTTCAGTAATGGCTGCTGTTGGTGGAAGTTCAGTTTGGGTGATCAATATATGTGCAATTCTTCTGCTTAATCTATTCTCTACTGCATCTGGTAAGTCCACTATCTCAGAGTCAGATTCAGAATTTTAAGTTTATGAGTCTTGAATTTTAAGAAAAGATAGCTCACTGGATTCTAGATAAATTATTTATACATATTCAGTGATTTCTCAACATAAATACATGATTTTGATCAAAGTTACTGGATTTTGCCGTATACGTAGGTAGAACTCTAACTCCTCTTCTGCACTATCTCTTATTTCTTGAAGAGAAAAGATGAACAAAAATGGAATTTTAGAGCTTTTTTTGTTTTTCATGTGTTGGCTTCCTTGAACCCTTTATACATGCATGTCTTCTCTCAAGGTTCTTGTTAATAGAGAGGGGATTGATACCGGTGGTGGAGTCAGGATTTTCATTAAGGGGAGTCAAAATATAAAAAAACAAACTCACCAAGAAATCAAGGGGTGTCATTATATAGTATATATACATATTTTTTTAAAAATTACCGAGCTAAACAGTGTAATTTTCCGACGAAGGGGTGTCGGTTGACACCCCTTGGGTGCATGTGGCTCCGCCACTGGTTGATACAAGTAGCGGAATCAGAAATTTTATTAAGAGGATTAAAGAAAATACAAGAATGTTTTACTTGAGATTTAAATGTTACCTAAAACAACTCTTATATGACATTTGCCACTATATTATAAGTTTTTCTTATATCAAGGGATTCAACATTTCGTGTGTGTATATATATATATTATATAGATTTTACTATGTTGGCACATTATATTTAAAAAAAAAAAAAAATTGAATCCCCTTGGTACCATTTAACTCCGGTTCTGAACACAAGTCTTACTGCACTTATCTTCATAATGATGGGTTTTCTTTCAACATTATTAAGGTAAGGAATCAAATTAAGTGCTTAATTTTTTAGTAGTGAAGTACACGTAATAAAACCATTGCTTGAAAGCTATTCTTTGCTTTAATCGTTGAAAAATCTTTGACGAATTTGTGATGAGAATATGCTTTTTAAAGAACAAAACATCATGATCATAGATTTAGTAATTTTTCCAATAAGCGCTTTTGTTATCTTGGCCAATCACAAATTGTTACTCTAATATTGACAAAAGTATTTTTCTAATTAATTAATCGAACATAAATTATTACTCGCTAAAAATATTTTTTCAAAAAATACTTATGATAAAAAGTACTTTTCGGTAAATTTTGGAAGTGTGACAAACATACTTTTAGAACATTTAGACCAAAATTTATACTATGACCCAAGAATTCTATATAATTTAGATGAAGACCAAGCAATTCTTGAAAGACAAATTAAAACCTTATCTTTTATATGTACTCATTCTTTGACAGTTAACCGTAGAAATGACGTCAGGTAGTTATTTTAAAGGGCTGTTATTTAAGAACTGGCCAGTGCATCCTGAATTTTAGGGTAGAATATATGATCTTTATTTTTTAAATTTTCACTCAATCTTCGAGTATTAATTAATTTATACAATTTTCTTTTGGGAAACTTACACAAATGTCCCAAATAAATCTCAACTTACCAACATCTAGCCATTAGTCATAGATTTACTAAAACTAGCCAACAAAAATTGAAAAACCAAATAATAGGGTTCTTTCTCTCAAAGAATCACATGCAAAAATCACCTTTCATATTTTTAAACATGATTAGCAACATTAGATACAAGACGGAAAGGAAATTTCATGGACGGGGTAGCAAATAAGGTGATGAAATACAAAATCTATACAATATTCCAAAAATTTAAACAAAAAAGGAACTTTTTCAATGGGTATAGTTGAAATTCATTGAAAATAAATAGATAACTCAATATACAAAATTTGAGGAAGATTGGAGGTGATTTGACTGGTATTGCATCAAAATTCGTAATTAAATCGAGTTTCAAAAAAGATAATTGGCTAATATTAGTAATATGTTATCAATTGGCCAATTTTTATAATGAGTTACTTATAAATGGACATAGCTGGTAATTTCCCTTTTCTTTTTTGGTTAGGTGATGCTTTGAGAATCAAATTTGGTTACACAGGCCCAATAGGCCCAAGTAATTGGGGAAGATTGAACCCAACATTTTCGGCCTGCTCAACTGGCAAATCTCAGTCCCCAATAAACATTGACAGTGCTAATCTTGTTATTAACAAAAATTTGAAGCCCTTGATTATGCAATATAATCATTCTGAAGTTGCTACTTTGGTTGATAATGGCTTTAATGTTGGGGTTAGTTTTCTAAATCTTTTTATTTGTCTAAATTCCTTTTTGCCAATCATGTTATTTACATATCCATACATACCTTGTGCAAAGAAATGAGCCTTTCATTTTTGCATAACGTTAAAAACATTTTCTAGAGTCATTGAATTCTAAGATCAACTAGCTCGGATAGAGGTGGAGTTAGGATTTAAAGATTATGATCTCTGGTCTTATCACTTTCACATTTTCTTGAGGCGAGGGTCTATTGGAAACAGTCTCTTTATCCAGATGCGGATCTAGAATTTTAAGTTTATGGGTTCCAACACAAATCTTAAGTTAATATATAATAATAACCGGATTAACGGACTGGGTTCCAAGCTAAATATTCTTATATATTTAATAAATTTTTCAATACAAATACCGAATCTAGACAAAAGTTATTGGTTTCACGGGAACCCGTATCTCACTCACTGGATCCGCTCCTGTATCTACCTCGCCAGGTAGGGGTAAGGTCTGCGTAAACCTACCCTTTCCAGACCCCACTTGTGGGATTATACTGGGTATGTTGTTGTTGATTTCTGGTCTTATCACTGAACCCTAGCTACTTCGTATGAACTCGTAGCTACTACACTACCTTCGTCCTTGAGTACGGGACACCCTTAATCAGATATCTTAATTTCGAGCTCAAAAATGAAAAAAATTCCTGATATGGAACACTATCCTTTTACATAAGCCCTACGCGGCGTGAATCCGAATTAGTCTAACCAGTATCAAATAGTAAAATAAAAAATATAAGTTAGAGATCAATGTCTAAAAAGGAAACTTGTTTTTTGTTTTTCATTTTTTCAGGTCTAGGAAATTATCCTTCTTTTCCTTGAACTATTTACCTCCGTCCTTCAATTTTTCTTTATTTTTGTTTCTCTCTTTGATCTTTTATGCTTATTAGGATAATTGACATGATAAATTTTTCCATTATTATTAATTTCTCATGGTACTGATATTGATACCAATGGTTGCAGGTAAAATATGGGGAAAATGCAGGAACTTTGGTTGTGGATGGTAAAACTTACAACTTGAAGCAAATGCACTGGCATTCTCCTTCTGAACACCGACTTGATGGAACTCAGTATGCAATTTTTTGTCTTATAGTTAGGCACACAAGAGTGCGGCCTCGCGATTAATGAAGTGGATAAAAAGTTGGAAAATCGGTGTTAAAATTCCAATAAAGATAAAAAAAGTTAGAGTGGACGGAGTTATCCGATACATATGCTAGTGGAAGGTAGTAAATACTCGGTGGAATAGTCGAGGTGCTCACAGTTTGACCTCGACACCACTAATTAAAAGGCAGCTCAGTGCACGAAACATCCTGCATTCACGTAGGGTCCGGAGAAGGGCCGCCCGTGCACACCCCTAAGGGTGTGATATAGACAGCCTACCCTAATGCAAGTATTAGTGGTTGCTTTCATGCCCCGAAACCGTGACTTATAGGTCGAACGGCTCGACACCACTAATTTTTTTTTTAAAAGAAAAAGATGTTTAGTGTCTAGTGTGTAATTCAAGGAGTATAATATGTCCAGTGCCCCGAAAAATCCGTCAATAAATGACGAACTTCATTATACAGATGATAAGAAAGGGCTAAGACAGTAATCCCAGCGAAGATTAGGATGAACTTTGATGAATAAAAGAAGTATATATATTTTAATAACATGTTAAAACTTTTTACAGATATGCTGCAGAGCTTCATCTAGTTCATTTTGCTGAAGACAATAGTATAGCAGTATTGGCAACCCTCTTCCATATTGGCCATCCTGATCCCCTAATGACCAAGGTATTACCACAATATTCTCTTTACATTAATTTATTATTACATTCATCCCAAAAAATATGATCAGGAGGTTACGAGTTCAAGCCGTAGAAACGGCTTCTTGCAAAAATGCAAATAAGACTGCATACAATAGACCCTTGTGGTCCTATTCTTCCCCGAACCCCATACATAGCGGAAGCTTAGTGCACGCATTTTTTTTTTTAATTCATCCCAAGGAAGCTTTAAGCAGAGATACCATTTTCTCGAGCTTCTACATTCCTGAGGGGTTGTAATTAAAGATACCATTATTTCTTGTGCAAAAATTCCTATAAAAATGGGAAATATCCACCTTTAATTAGAGTGTGTTTGAACTAAGTGGGCGTTTGGACATAAGAATTGTAAAATTCCAAAAAAGTGAAAGAAAAAAAATTCAAGTGAAAATGGTATTTTAAAATTAGAGTTGTGTTTGGACATAATATAATTTTGGGTTGTTTTTTAATTTTTGTAAGTGATATGAGTGAATTTTAAAAAACAGTTTTTTGGAGTTTTCAAATTTTCGAAAAATTTCAATTTCATCATCAAGTGAAAATTGAAAACTGTATGGCCAAATACTAATTTTGAAAAAAAAAAATGAAATTTTTTCGAAAAAAAAAGTAAAAAAATTCTTATGTCCAAACGGGCTCTAACAATGTTGGAAACTTTCACATAAACAATGTTGAATATATTTCATTAGTAACATTAGTTAGTCAATCATATTACTCTGATTTCACCTTTGAGTGTTTTAAACTAACAATGTTATATGCCATTGGAAACAAAAGGTTACTAATGTTGAAATTCTTTTTTTTTTTAAAATGTTTAGCTTCAAAATAAACTGAATGAGCTGGCAAGGGACGTGGCATCACAGAAAGAAACACAGATTCAGCTGGGAACTATAGACACACATGAAATAAGGAAACACACACACAAATATTACTCATATACTGGTTCTTTAACTACTCCTCCATGTTCTGAAAATGTCTCTTGGCACATCCTTGGCAAGGTATTGAAATATTTCTACTTCTTCATTTCTCTCTGTTATTTCTTGAAGAATGAGCTTCATTTGTTAGTGTAAATAATTAGTAACATGAGCAAAGTTATTATTGTGTCACATCTTAGGCCTGATTGTACGGGCTAGTCATTCTTAGGACTGGTTCTAAAATAGCCGTGTTCGAAAATTAGTTGAAAAGTAGTCACTTTTATCCAAAAACACCATAATAGTGTCACAGAAGGAGAGTTTTGGAGTAATGATAAAGTTGTCTTCTTGTGATCTAACTCACCGGTTTGAATTGTGCAAGCAACCGTTAATGCTTGCATTAGGGTATGTTGTCAATATCACACCCCTTGGGTGCCGCCCTTCCCCCGATCCACCATGAACGCCGGATGTCTTGTGTACCAGTCTGTCCTTTTGCACACACACTACCATGTCCCTAAATCGCACTTGTGAAATTGAACTAGGTATGTTATTGTTTTTGTTTCATGATAATATCATGGACTTCGAGCTTAAACAAGCGAAAAGTCCAAAAAACTGTTATCATTTTTGTAATCCATAACATTTTCATGGGATTTGAGAATTTGACTATTTTTCAATGATTTTTGAATTTGTCACTATTTTATGATTACAAGTTAAAAAAAATAGCTATTTTTGAACTTTACCCGAATTAATGGATAAGATCAAATATGGACTATTTGAAAAGTGTTGAAACCAAGACCACAAGGAAATGACATGATGGTTGAACATGTTACAGCTTTATAGGTAAGAATACACAATTACATAGTTTGTGTAAGGTAGATAGACTATCGGAAATAACCCTTCTACCTTATACGAAGGGAGGATAAGGTCTGCATACACCCCACCCTCCCCAGACCTCATTTTTATGATCATATTGAGTATATTGTTGTTATTGAAAATAGTCAGATAATTCGTGGTTAAAAAGAACTAATTTTTAATAATCACATGTGTACATCATCAAATTAATTTGCACTAATTTTGTATTTATGAATGATGAAAAAAAAAAATGTGAATGCAGGTGAGATCAATATCAAGAGAGCAAGTAGAAGCTTTGAGAGCTCCATTGGATTCGAGATGCAAGAGAAATGCAAGACCAGTACAACCCTTAAATGGAAGGCAAATTCAGATGTATGAAGTCCAAGCAAATGTTAATTAGATTTTTATGTGTCTAGGGGAACCAATTATTTTATATATGTATCTCTATAAATAAATCCTAATCCTAGTTACATAAACACATAGTTCTATGGAGCATTAGCTCAAGAAAGACAAAGATACAATACGTCGTTTGGTTCAAAACTAGGTTATCCTAACCAGGATAGATAACACATTCGATATGAGATAAATAATCCCAGGGGCGGATGTAGTGTTCTACGGCCAGGTTCAATTGAACCTATAACTTTCGACGCAGAGTAAAAATTTATGTGTAAAAATTCATTAAAATTACAAAAAGAATAGATATGAACCCATAACTTTTAAATGATAATAGGTGCAATATTTAAAACCTTAAAAGTTGAACCCATAGGGTTTAAATTTTGGAATCCGCCTCTGGATAATCCCATGATTTTGTTATAAATTTTATTTTGATTTTAGGTAATACTCACAATCAAATACCGAACAAATTTAATCACAAATTTATATTGGGATAACCCCTAATCCCTGTAAGCAAACAGCCCCCAACACTAGTTGTATTTTATCATATGACCGATCCGTGTAAAGAAAAATGTGAATAGAAGATCATACTCTTAAAAAGAAAGAGAAAGAAAAAGAAAGACCGAAAAGGAAATAATAGAGTTTTCCATGAAGATAATTGCATGTAGTAGAATTTCAAGATGCTTGATGATCACGCCCAACTATGCTTTGTAAAAAGGATTAAGCAGCCGGTGCAAATATAATCCGATTTACAAGTCCGGAATCGAATCTCACAGGGAATCAACGTAGTAATCACAACTTTTAGTTTCGCAAGAATCCAAGTAATCAACTTCCAAAAATATTGAATAATGAATTGAGTGTTTACTAACTAATAACAAGAAAATTAAAAGGCTGTAATTTTACTACTAACAAAGCAACTAATTTAGACAAGATTGGAAAGGTCTAGGGTTACGATTTCCCCTCTTGTCGGAACTCTCTATGTTACGTTTCCTATAAATTCGCCTAGATACTCTCTACCGATCATGAGCACTTTAGATGTCGTAATTCTCTTCCGAGCAGATACAACAATTTACTAAACGGATTCTTCCGAACTACGCTAGCTAGCATTAGTTTACCGCTCACTAAGATCGCACCAAGATTTTGTTATTCCTAATCCCACCGTTAAACCCTTCGCATTGATCCCTCATATACGTTAGGAGAGGTGTTGTTCAACGACTACCTAAATATGTACCATTTTCCATGTAATACACACTAAATAGGCATAGCCGATTGAGAGCCCTTCAATCAACCACAATAATCACGTAGTTGAACAAGTAGAGAAAATTCAATGGCAAATTTATATTAAACGCAACAAAAATTCATCCTCCAAGAGGTTCTATCAAACCCTAGAATAAAGAGTTTAGCTACTCATAATTATTTTCACAATCACAATATAAGAATTCATCATCAATGATAAAAAGGGGAAGAAGAAAGATAAAAACTCGTTTTCGAATTTTTTGTCTTGCTCCTTGCCTGTTCTTGCCTTCCCAGTTCTTCTAAAAACCAAGATACCTCTTTTTGGGCGAGCTGGCCTTCATATAGGTCAAGGAAAGTCGCTCTGGAATAACAATTTTAGCCCTGGAATAATTTTTCTCGGAAGGACGTTCGCGGCCGCGCACCTAGGCAGGCAGGTGACCCCGCATCTGGCCGCGCACTTTGGCCAGTTTCTGCCTGACTTGCGCGGCCCAGTGCGCGGCCGCAAACCTAGGCAATTTTCTGCACTCTTCTTCATTCTTCTTTATAAGTGCGCTTGTGAGCACGTGATTTTTGCCCTATATGAATTACTCCCACAATTTCAAACAAAATGATTTTTTTTTCATTATTTTTAATTTTGTTGATTTTTGTGGCATTTTCTGTTAATTGCTTGCATTTGTGTGTACATTTTTCAATTCATAAAAATACAAAAAAATACGCATTGCATTTAGGATTTAATTTTACATACTAATGAGTAATTAGGATTTTACAAATATACAAAAATCACAAAAATTGAGCTATTTTCGCTTTGTTTAATTTGTAGCTTTGAATTTTGTGAATTTTCTTTAAATTGGTATTTAGTTAATGGTGTTAGTTATTAATTAGAGCTTAATATGATTCGGTAGGATAATTTAGTTTTAGAATTAATTTAGGGTTTTTAGTTTAAAATTAGAATTTTGAAATAAAAGGAAAAAGATTAAGAAGGCTGCTCTATTCTTGGGCTAATCTCATACCAGCCCAAACAATTACTCCCCAAACCCACTTCAAACCAGCCCAATCCACAAAGCCAACCGGTCCCCCTTTTCAAAATCGAAACGGCGTCATTTTGTCACGCTAGATCCTGGCCGTCGAGGATCCTTGATCCAACGGTCAGGAACTGGGGTCAAGTTAATATATATATATATGTCCAAACGCACCCCCCCACCCCCTCGTCACCCGTCTCTCACCCCCAAACCCTAGAGACCCAAAAAACCCTAGCCGCCCTATTTTCCACCACTGTCCTCCGCCTTCCGCTGCCCGCCGTCGGCCGGAAATCGCCTCCGCCGGCGGCGATTCTCAAAATAGCCCCAAATTTACACCACAGCATCCTCTCACCCTCCTCTCTCTAAATCCCCGAACCCCGACCCTCAGATCTCAGTAGAAATTCTCGAATATTGATTTGAAAATCCGGCCAAAACACCACCACCTCCAAACTTCGCCAAATTAACACCACATGATCTCCTTACACCCCTCATCCCAAATCCACAACCCTTAGCCTTCGAATCATCCCCGTTTGGTTCGAATCTCAGATCGAATTTTGGCCGAAAACCCTAATTTCTTAATGTTTGGGGATTTATTGATTTTGGGCTATAATAGCCTTTAATCATGTGCTTTCTCATGAAAACACATGATTAAAGACAGTTTTAATCCAAATAATGCCAAGAAAGCCGCCATTGTTCGAGTTTGAGTTACTAAATTCCGAGGTATTTCATTCTTACTTTCTTTTCTGTTTCATCCATGATTTTTATTTTATTTTATTTTTATTCTGTTTTACTCAGAACTTCTTTTTATTTTTGTGTTGAGTTAGGGTTTCGATTTAGGGTTCTGATTCTTTTCATAATCATATAGTTTGGTTTTGTTTTATTGTTAGTAATTTGATCGTTTGATTTGATTTCAACAGTAGGATTTCATGTTTAACTATTGCTTTACATTTTCTGATTTTGTTAGTTTCAGCTTTGTTTGTTTGATTTTAATTGATTAGTTTACTGTTGTATTAGTTTAATGGTACACTTAGTCTTAGAATTCCTATTATTTAGAGTTAAATTTCCGTTTGATTAGCTAGATTAGTTAGTTCGGATTTTAATCATTGTTTGGTTATAGCTGATTAGTTTCTAGTCTTGTAGTTTATTAACCATGGTTAGTTTGGCCAAAGTAAAAGGGGGCTGGGGTTTGGTTTGGCTATGGTAGTAATTTAGAATCCAAATTAAGGGTAGTTTAGGTGTTTTACCTAAAGAATCTGTTAGTTAGAAACACCTAGAGTCTTCTAGATGGGTTCAAAGTAGAATTTCAAGAAACCTAATGCAGTAACTTGAGAAAGAAGTCAGAAAATAAGGGACTACTCGGGTAAAACTGAAAAAATAAAAGAGGAACTAGGGGGCGTAAAGCTAAAAATCGGAGAGAACCCTCAAGTTTGCCTATAAAAGGCATGCATTCTGCCTTCATTCAGGGGGGGGGGGGCTGGGCGAACAAAATTTTGGGGAAAAAAGTTGAAGGGTTTTTCTTTAACTTCTAATTTCTGTCCTCTGAATACTTTTCTGGGAAGAGTTTGTCTCAAAGGTTCAGAAAAACACATAGATTTTAATTTCTGACTTTGGTTTTTGAGTGCAAAAAGAGATAGAAATGAGCTGAGGTCATTCGACTGGTGGAGAGATTTAAGTTCGTCGACTTCGATTTTCTACTGTTGTCTTACTGATCTACTGCTGAACCTCGCTAGGATGTTTTTGGAATCTGAAGGTGTATTGCTGCTTCTTCTGTAATTGTTATAAAAGAAGTTTGAAAGTTCAGGTTCAATCTCCTTCTCTTTTGCATTTCTGTTTTTATTTAAGTGTTCTCGAATTGTAGATTCTGTCCAAAATGGTTTGTTTTGTTCTGTGATAGAACTTCGTGAAGGAGTCGAGTTTGGGTTCATCATTTAATCCTGATTCGTAGTCGAAACGATTTTTGGTGCATTATTCTCGCTGATGAGTCTCTTCTCGATGGTGTGATGTATTTGAGTATGTTCAGTTAGTAGAAGTTGATTTTGAGTGGTCGTTTTTTATGCTTATATGGTTTAACTGTTATCATGATGTCGAGTTTTCGTTTGAGTCCAGATCTCGTCGATTTCAAATAGCTGTTACAGTTTGGTTAGTCTGTCAGTGTGAAACTGCTCTTGCCTGTTGAAAACTTGGAAGACGAATCATAGGTCTG